CTCTTTCCATCTTCTGCTGTGGACCCATTCACTATATTTTCCAGTTTCTAGTTTTGAAGTCGAGTGTGCTGGTGGGATTTACATAATCTTAGTTTACTCCACTCTTGAGCCTTCATTGCAAAATTCATGTCAGTAGTCATGCCAGCCATGTAAGTCAGAAGTTAGATTCTCTGTTTTTATTTTATAAAAATACAGCATCCTTTGTGTGGGAATCCTGGAGTGTTAATAGCATTGTTAGCAAGAGACATCATCATGCTTAGTGATTTTTATGATGTGTTAATAAAAAATGAACATCTTCTTTTCCTCAGTGGGATACTACAAACAAAGGACTCTATAAGGAACAAAGAGTGTGAAGAAGAGGAGACAGAAAATAAGCTGCTCATTTCAAATGAAATTAAAGGTAAATTGGCAGTAATTAATTTGTTTCATATTAAAATCTGCAGAACAAAAGAAGTGTGATATCCCTTGAAATTCTTCATGAAACTGCAACTTATTTTCCACATGCACTATTGGTGTCCAACAATTTCTCGATAGCAACACTTTTAACACTGTGTCTCTTTATCTTGTCATCAAAGGCTTTGCCAAGAACTTTGTCACAGTTGTAAAGATGAGTGCAAAATGAATACTGGTATAAAAAGTTTCATTTCAAGAGTATTTTTTCATTAGCTTTTAAAAATAGGTAATTAAACCAGTCTGAGTTGTAAAGGTATAACATTCACTTACTGCTTCAAAAGTGTATTGAAAGCAAGCTGAAACATTTACACATTACAGGCACAATGCAAAGCCCACCTTACTCAGCCCACCCTCAGTCTGATATTTTCTAGCAGCCTGTGTGCAGAACAGGTGCTTTCTTTTTCATGAGTGTTACAGAGGGGTGGCTAAAATTTTTACCTCACTGAAAAACTGGAGACAGTCCAGTGGAGGGCCACCAGGATGATTAGGTGGTTGAAGGACTTCACATATAAAGAAAGGTTGAAGGAATTTGGGAAGGGAAGGCATGGAGGAATCTAGTCACAGTCCTCCAGACAGTGGAGGTACCCTCTCGTCCAGGATGCACAATGGTGGCAAAAAAGGGAATGGGCACAAGTTGCTTCAGGGGAAATTCTGTCTGAATATAAGGAAGAAACTTCTCACCATGATAACAATTGGAATAGGCTGCCTAAAAAAGAGGTGGAATCTCTCTTGCTGGTATTCTTAGGATTGAGTGTCAGGGTGTGTGTCAAGGACCTGGATAATTTAGTCTAATGCCCTGCTCTTAATGGAAGGTTGCATCATGTGGTCACCAAAGGTCCCTTCCAACATGGACTTTTCTTTGGTTCAGTGATTCTGTGTTGGTTATGTGTACTGCTGTGTCAAAACTCTTGGCTCTTCACTGATGCAGTTGGACAGATTGAGGTAGCTGTTCATTATTCATTTTTATCCTCATTGTTTTAGAAAGAGTAGAGCACAAATCCAGAACATCACAGTCTTATATTTGATAATTATTTTGTGTGTGTGAAACCTAGCATGTCAGGCTATTTAGTTATTAGGTACTGAGTCAGTGCATTGCTTCAGTACAGCTTTTGCTGCAATAATATCATTAACTCATGCAAGTTCAATGAGAAGTGAAATGTCTTAATGAAATAATTTAATTCCTTAAATTTTTAGATTTTTTTTTCTTCAGCAGTTTGTTGTGCAACACAAAATTTGTAGATTTTGTAGAAATTGTAGAAATCTTGAGACTTGAGTAACTGTGATTCTTTAAGGGGTACATTTCTTACCCTTTAAATGAGCTCATCATTGTAAAACCCTGGAATTTCTTCTAGACTAGTAACACATTGCATAAAGACAAATTTAAGGTGATGTTTTATTTTTAATTATTAACCTCTCATACATTTTTTATCTTAAAACGTCGTTTGCCTGCCAGTGCTTTTCAGATAGATCTAAGAGACACTCTGAAGAGCACGTGAAGTATGAAAGATTCCATCTATTACAACAGCTGTTCAAAAGATGTAAAAAATCCAGGTTGTTACGGTGTTTTGAAACATGATGTAATTCAAAATTCTGGAGAAAATGAAGCATTAAAAGAAGAATCTTTCTAGAGCAGATGAAAGAAAAAGTTTTTGGTCGTTTGAAGTATTTCAAGTTTGAAGTTTCAGCAGAATGGAAACATACTGTTTTGATGTTGACTTTGCGTTATTTAACAATACAAAAAATTTAAAATCAAATAGTTCAGAACATTTTAAAGTTCTTGCTAGCAGTCATGGAAAGCTCAAGCTAAAATAATTGCAGTTGTGCAGACTTTTGTGAACTGTGGCTGCTGGTAGCTGTGCTTTTGTTGTCCTGTTTTTTCTGCATGTCACTAAAATTACTGTTCTTCAACCTACTTTTGCCGTACTCACTTGACCAGTTCTCTACCAGTACTTTATAAAACATGTACTGCTGTCTTCCCTTTTTTGGAGAAGGATTACTTGGAGCTAAAGAACTCCACTGAAATCATGGCCCCTTTATACTAGCTTTTTTTACAGACACAAATCCTGTGCTTAAAAACCTGATACATACTAAGAGCTAGAACATGCAGGAGGGAATGGGCGGTGTTCATGGTCTCTCATTAACGCCAGAAAGTGTTTGCTGTTTAGCTTCTTTGAAACTTTAGGTTATATTTTGTTGGAAGGTAATTCACTAAGAACATAGAGATTAATTAAGGAAGGTAGGATTCAGGGAGAAGGATAACAACGCAACATTAAGTATGAAGAAGAATGTAGGGGCAGGTGGGCTGATGCTGAAGCAAACTGTCCGGAGAGAAGAACAGTGGTCAGAATTAAAAGTGTGAGCTTACTGCATCTGGCTCTGCTGTTCCATGTGGAGCTGGCAAGCAGATTTTGTTTCTTCAGTTAACGTGGTTCAAGGAGTTCTTCATGGCTCGTGTGATGAAACTGGCTAACCCATGGTGCACCTCAAGTGACTGTTCTCCTAAATGTCCAAATTGAGACGTAAATTGGAGTACATCACATACTTTCTCTGGCCCACAAACACAGATTGCCTCTCTACGGGAAGCAAGCCTTGCAGAGTACGAACACCAGAGCATGAGGGTAGGGAGAACTTTTAGATGTCTGGTATTACAGACATAGATTCTAGCCAAAATCCTGTGGTTTGCACTGTATTTGGCAAGAATTTACCCACACTAAACCTAAACTTCCTTTTGTCAGGGATGTGGTTATACCTGCTGCAGGGTTGGGGACACTTATGTTTTCATTTCCTCCATCTGTTTGGGTAAATTGGAACTTTACATGTTCCTTTTGTGCTGTTCATCTTACCTGTGAGGCAGATATGACACAGGGGGAGAAGCAGAGGCATTTTTGCCAACATCCTTAAAGGCATTAGGCACTGAATTCCTTTCCATGACAGTAAATAGAGGTCTTGAATGTGAATAGTCGGAGTACAAGGTTTAGCATTATGCACTGTCATGTTAGTCAACTTATTTTCTGCTAACCTCATTCATAACCAGCTGACCTGTGTCTGCTTGAAGTTTTCCAAAAAGCACAGCATGGGCAGATGCCCAGCACAGAGTTTTCATCTGGAACTGTTAGGATTTGACACAGCTGTACTATTGAAAATGAAGACATATATGAGAGATAGGTAACCTTAGCTGTCATTGCTGCTGCTCACTATGTGTGTACTCGTATGCTCTTATGTATACGTATGTTTAAACCTGCGAAAATGGAGTTCAGTTTGCTTGGAATTTTCTTCACACAGTATTGTCTTCTGCTATTTATGTTACAGTATCAATGTATTACATGTTTTGCAAATGGAAAACAACAACAACAAAAAAAGCTAAATACTTATATTTTCAACTTTTAAGAGACCTTTTTTAGAAATGAAAAATCCGGGGATAAGGATGAGGAGGGAATTCAAGGGAACTCTTGAGAAAGATGCTATTCAATAAAATAGGCTTTACATTCAGCATGCTTGCTGCCTTACAAGACTCTTTCCTTTCTCACTGAGATTTTTTAGTAGTAGTAGAAGCTCTAAGGAGCCTTTGAAGAACAACAGTGTTGTGTTGTAATGTAACGTAAATGTAAACATACATTTTGGAAACTCACTTTCAAGAGTAAGAGTATGATGTTAGGAAAAAATTAAGGAGTCTATTTAAAAATCTAATCAGTGAGCTGACAATACTGACTAAATGGCTTAAGAGTCAACTTCTGAATAATGGAAATTGATATAAAATGAGGATAAGTCTTGAAAGTAACAAAAATTTAAGCTGGGGGAGCAGAACAACACAAGCAAATGTAATCACATCCTGTATTGGCCACATTATATATTCTAGACCAGTCCCACTGTGCTGGCAAAAATCTATAATAGGAATTTGTGCCCTAGTTGTTGGGCACAAAGGTATGAAAACTAGAACAGTAAGGATAGGGAGAACTGTGAATAATAGCAACTTCCCCAAAATGGAAATAGAACGGGGCTGTAATTGAAGTGAGCGAACCAAACAAAAATAGCACAGGGATTTGTGAGTGATTGCATGAAGCCATGTTAGTAAGGAATATTAGGCATAGGTTCTTTGTTGGCTGTTTCATTCAGAAATGAATTCCAGAGGTTTTCCACAATTTTACTTGGCAATTGGGAAGTATTCAGGCCTGACTTCACAGCAGGCATGTTGCTTTTGCATTTGCAACGGATCTAAAGGAACGTAGATGTCCTATGCAGTTTGACATCATTTGAGGCATGCTCTTCCCTCTTTCCTCCTACACACATCTGCAACTGCTTCTGCTCTCCAGACAGCAGCAGCAACAGCAGTACTTAAGTGCTCCCACCTGTACATTACTTTTGAGGCCAGTGGCATGGAGCTCATTCCTTCCATTATGTATAAAGGGAAACGACCTTGCAACAAAACCCATAGCAGCACAGAGGAGTTAACCGCTACTTTCCAAATAAAACATTCCGTTAAAGTGGGAGCAGGGTATTTGCAGACACTTGTCGTTTTTTCTCAGAAGAACTGGAAAACATTTTGTTGTGGATGAGGCAGATATGTCATGTGGGCTGGAACTGTACAACTGATTCACTTGGAATTTTGTAGCAGTGCAGTGCTGTTTTTGATGAAGTTATAACAGCTCAACCCTGGAATTAAGTTAGTTCTTACACTACTGTACAACTATTAAATGTGGGTGTGATGTCTTGTATCAAAATATTTTAAATTATTTAACCTGTGGTGTGGTATGCCAACAATTGTGTTGGCATAGCATTGTGTTGTGTTGGAAGAGATTTTTTCCATGTAAGAATGGTTACATTTATATAGAGCCAATATAATCACAGTCATACTAGTGGAACAGTCATGGTACTCCTCTAATTCTGGTGTAAGCAAAACTACAGCTTGTGTAAGGAGGCCCATATTTATCAACAGAAGTGAATGTGCTTTTACTGTGACTGATCTCATCACTGACTGAGGGGTTTAATGCTTGTTTTGTTGCTTCCTGTTGTTAAAGATGTTGAAGAACCCAACACGCAGAGACTTCTTTCTCAGCCAGTTATTGTGTCTTCCAAGTTGCAACTCCCTGGCCTACCCTTGCGCTGGGAGCAGCAGAGCAAGCTCCTTCCAAGTGTAGCTGGTATCCCAGCCAGTAAAGTTTCTAAGTGGAGTACAGATGAGGTAGGTTTCCCCCGTATCTTCTGTCTCGCTGCTACTGCCCTTGAAGTCTTGGTTGATTCGGAACTTTAAATTAACCCCATAAATTAACAACGTGTTAGTATTCAGAGGATTAGAGTCAGCCAGACCTAATGCTACAGAGCCCCAAAATGTCCATTGAGCTGCCGTCCAGCCCTAGAAGCAATAAGTATTAATTCATGTCTGTATAGATATAGATCAATATATATGTATGCATATATAATTCACTGGGGTTAAAAAGGGAAGGAAAAGTGCTAAATGTATGGCCCAGCAGATCAGGTGCTCAAGGTCTACACTAATAACATCTAGCACCCACACAGACATTTTGGAGGAATGGTTTAGGGTTCCACATGGCCTAAGGGGACTATTCCTGGTGCATAGTTTGGATGTGGCACACTGTTTTGGAGGATGAGAATATAGTGCAGAGAGGAACAGGATGGATGTGGTTAGGCCGTGACACCTGATTCCAAGATTAGAGCCCTGTCACTGTTGAAGTATGTAAGAATGCTTGGACAGATAGGGTCTAGTCCCTGCTTTACTTTCAGAAGTACCTATCACTAAGGCAGTTTTCTGCAGCTGGCATAGTTGGATCTCCTCTAATCAGAGAAAAAAGCAGCATGAACTTTGAAAAAGGATTTGCTCATCTCTGTGCTGTAAAGAATAAAGAAGGGGAAGGCAGCAACCATTTTGGTTTGTGAAAAGTGATTCACCAAGAGAAGATTCATGGTTCTGGATCTGCATGGATAAAATAACCTGAGTAATTTTGAGGGAGTAGCCATATCCCACTCTTAGATGTCCTGTGGACAAGAGTGGCATGTGCTCTTTTAGCTTGCAGATTGTGTGAATCCTGTTCTTAAACACCCAGCTGCGTGACTCCACACGCACTTACAGAAGAAGGTGGAACACCTAATATGAGGCTGTAAGAACAATAATGAAAAAACTTTGCTTTAATGATTGTCAACCTTTAAGACTATTTTGAGAAAACACCAGTCTTACTAAATCTTTTGTTTTATACTTTGGTGGCAGGTCTCTGAATTTATACGAAGTTTACCAGGATGTGAAGAACATGGCAAGGTGTTTAAAGATGAGGTGGGTGAATTTTATTTCAAAAAAACACAGAGTACAAAGCTTGGCAGAAAGATTAATTTTCTGTCATCATTAAAAATGCATATAAAGTAGTAAGATGAAGTGTATGTTTAAAGTCAGACACAAATATATGGAAGATTAGGTTGGTTTGCAGGTCATGGAGTGGGAAGAAAGTAAAGAAGATAAAACTAGCTAAGTGTCAGCCAGGTCTCTTGTGCTTCTCTATCTTTGTTGCTGCGACTGAAATTACTTAGAACTAATGGTAGAAGAGGAGGAACTTCGTGATTTACTACTATTCTCTCTTAATCTGGTTTGAGGAGATTTATAAGTATGTTTGTTTACTTCTGCAGGATGTTAATAAGTAAAATAAAGTAGAGCAGTGGTTTAAGATAACCACCTCTTAAAACTTGTCTGCGTCTTGTCTGATCACACTTAGCTCTTGATGCTCTTCCTCCTGATATAGCCAGTTTATGAATGTGATTGGAATGAGTGGGAAGTGAGAAGATCTGAAGGCTTCTCATGAGGTTCCAAGGAGTGTGTACTCATTTTGTGAGCACACCAGGCAGGCATTTTTGTTATCTGAGAACACTGTTGTGCCAAAGTTGTCATTAGGAAATGATAAGGCTTTTAGGTACAATAGGCCTTTATAAGCTAGGTTGGCTTATTCTTTTCTGCTCAGAGGTTTGTTACTCCTGTTAGTGCTTAGTTTCAAGAAGACTGTTTGATCACAAAATGCTGGAGTGAACAGTTCAGGTGTGTATGCCAGCCAGACCACCTGAATGGGCAGAGTCTGATACTGTAATATGCCAAGTCAGACAGCTTTCAAGTCAAGAATAATTGTGGTACGTCGACTTGAGAAGCCACCTCCTAAGGATAATGCATACAGATGGTCCTGCTGATCTCCTACTACCAAGTTTTCAGGCTCTGCTGTAGATTGTAATGACTATTACAGTTGCATATAAAAGGACTGACAGGCTGCATCTCTGGGCATTTTGCACTTGCTTAGATGTTAGGCATTTTACAGCAGGTATGCAGGCCTAGATCATCCCCCGTGTCCCTTAGGGTGTCTCACCAACTCATGTAAGATCAATAAAAGCTGATGTATTGCTGATCAAGTCAGCAGGTGGGAAGTGCTACAGAGATGAATGAATCCTAAACGCTTTTATTCTCAGAGGTGTAAGAAAAACTTCCCGTCTTTAGGATTCAGCCTCTCGGGCTTTGACTGCGAGTAGTAAATTAAAACTCTCCCAGTGAGGCTAACTGGCATGGACTGACTGGCATCAGTAGGTCCTTCAGTAGATGAAAGGTGCTGGTTCAGCCTTCTGCTGTGGAAATAAACCCTCGTCCTGCTTATATTAGATATTGCAAAAAACTGGGCACCCCCACGTTCCTACACTTCTGGTTCTGAGCCCACCCAGTCTGGCTTTGTGCGCAAAATTAGGAGATAGTAATTGTGATAACTGCGTGATGCTGTTCTCACTGCAGTGTTTCTTGACTTACAGTGCTGAGGTATACCTTGCAGGCTTCCTTGGCAGCATGTCTGATTCAGAAAGCTTGTCTTCTAGTCTTACAGGAACTTAATTACACTATTTTTATCCCAAATTAGTATCTCTAAGCTTAAGCGATGCTCTTGATTTAACCACAGTTGGCTTTTAGGCCTAGCTGTCCTGCTTATGTTACACTGAAAACTCACTACAGATATCTAAGTGGCCTGAAGTTTACACGAGAAGTGTTGGCCCCATTGAAGCCCATGGAAGTGAGGGCCTTGCCTTGTGGCTCTTCATGTTCGGATTTATCACTCCTGCTCACAGAACGATTTGCTTGCAGGAGAATATTCACTTGTAACATTTATTGAAATAGCAACACTACAAGGCTGGCAGAAAAAATATCGAGTGTTTCAAAAGTTGTGTTTGTGTCAAAGAGGCAGTTTCACACAGATTGCCTCCTGTTTACATCTGGGACCAAATTAATTTTAGTTTGCTATTGAATGAACAGAAAGGGGTGGCCTGAAGAGGTTTCCAGTTCTTTAGCTGGGAGTGAAATCTGGAAGCTTTCTTACGAAGCCTTGCATAGAAGGCGTAGCTAAGATGTTAAAAAGCACTACTGTGCTGCAGTGCAGTTGAATTCTACTTTGTTTCCCCATTTTACTTTTCAATAGCTTTTACCTTATACTGTCAGTATGAAAAAGAACTGATTAGCTAAAAATTAGCCAGACAGTTGTTTCCAAGGAGAAAGATCATCATCATCCTGTTCTTTTGGACTAGCTGATCTGTCTAAAAGGTTGAAATCAAAGCTATCCTGAAAGCATTTGAAAGTGCGTGTATTCAGCTATTCCTTTAAACTGCCTGAAATTGCTGGGAATTTCTTTTTCATGTTTCTGAAACATCTACACTGCTGCATTGTCAGACCTATTAATAGCTTTGTATGTTTTTTCTTTCAAAGCAAATTGACGGAGAAGCATTTCTGCTAATGACCCAATCAGACATAGTCAAAATAATGAGCATTAAACTGGGACCAGCCCTAAAAATCTTTAATTCCATTCTGATGTTCAAAGCTGCAGAGAAAAACTCACACAATGAACTTTGAAGGTAATGGAAAATGTGTACAAGGCAGCTTTCTCCACTGGAGCTCATGTTTTATTCAAAGCACAAAGACTCGCTAGAACTGTTGAGTAAGGACTCTCAGAAAGGAAGAAACTTACGTTCAGCACTGGTGGACTATTTATATTCTCTTCGAGCCAGTACACATCTGAATCCTTCTGGGAAGTGTTCAAGCTTTTGAGAAGGTACTGTGTAACAACAGAGTCAGCTAGTCTTATTTACCAAACTAATGGCGCTAATTCTCCATGGATGGTTAGGATCCCTAACTTTCTCTGGACATCAAGAAAACCTTCATTAATTATTTATGTTGTACTATATAAGGGAGCGTTAATATTTTCTAAGAATTCTCGAATTCTACTTCATGTACCCATTTTACTTTTCAGAAGCTTTTACTTCATACTGTCAAAATAAAAACTGATTAGCCAAAAATGAGGCTACAGGTAGCCAGATGAGACTGTTATGGCTAATACGTATTTGTGCCATAGGTTAAAAATTTAAACACTTAACGTTACATATGTGACACTTTATGCTACAGCATATAACTTTACAGATTATAAAACTGTCTGTTTGCTTGTAACAAAACAAAAAAAAACCTTGTTGGGGTTGAAATTATAATGCTTTTTGATAACTGAATGTTTTTACTTTTGCACGATTACAAAAATGTTATGTGAGGTTTTCCACCAGCATCTTTAATGTATTTTACCAAAAGATCAGTATAGAGAAGGCTGCAACTGAAAAATAAAGTTTGACTTCATAGAAGACTTTTTGTTTATGCTGCACAATAGAGTCCCAGCCATGGGAGCCTGCTACAGTCCTTCTGCATATGAAGGAAAACACGTGTATTTTGAGGTAAGTATATTAGCAAAAAAGAAAATCTGTTCATTCATATTTGCACATGCCAGTCTCCAGTATAGTTAGCACAACAGTGGAGAGAAACAGTGTGCTAAAGCTAGGACTGCTACTCTGGCTTCATAGTCAACATAGGTTTGTTTTCCCAGTGGTGGGAGAATTATTTCACTTACCAATTCCTAGTTGGAAAGTCTGATTTCTAAATTAATAAGGCATGGGGGGAAGACAGCATGGAGAAAAAGGATACTTAATCACAGATGGTGCATTGGCACATCCTAGGTATAAAATGCATGATTTTCACCAGGTCATTAGCAAGGCTGCAGATGCCACCAGCAGGTACTTGGGTGAAGTAACCTTCTTTCTTGGAGGATTATTCTAATGATTTGTCAGGGAAAGTTGTTATACTTCATATATATACAAAAGATATAAACCAGATGCACTTTAAATGGGAGAAAGCCTAGCTACCTGTATACTGAGGACTGTCTCAGAGTGTTACTTTTGCAAGAAGAGAGAGAAGAGTTGGATCAAGATGTTTGGCAGCCCTCTTCTTAGTGCTGCGGCAGGCAGTTGCTCAGTCCTTAGAACTGAGAACAAGCAGAGCATTTCCCTTGCACAGAGCTGGGAGAATTTTACATCTTCCCACAGATTTTGCTAGGCTGTTATTTGGCTGGAGTTCCTTAGGATTTCAAGAACTGTCTGTGCCCCTTCTGGATGATGTAGGTGACTGGTACCTGCCGTAGTATGAGGTGAAACAGGGTCAGTATGAAGTAAGTTGCATTGCTCTGTTCATTTCCTTCCATAGCGTTGCATAAATAATATTTTTACATTTTGTTCAATATTTGTACATTCAAATGGCACTCTTATTGTACTACAATACAAATAAAAGCTGAACTGGAGCCATCTGTTACATTTGTGTGTGCCCAGGATTCTCAGATGAACCCATCTGTTCCCCAGGGTGGCGTTGGAGTAATTCCTTACCATAGCTCAATGTGGCCATGAGTTCAAAAGAGCAACTTAGCTACTGCTGTCTGCCCTCTCCCAAAACAATTACTCCTGAGGCTCACAGGCCACTGGCTGTCACAATCAGAATCCCATTTATGGACCTGTGTTTTGTCACTGGCAGCGGCTGAAGTTGTCCATGCAGATCAGTGGAACGTCACATTTTTCTGTTTTCTTTCCTTCTGTCCATCCATGTAGTTTATTTCCCCTCACTCTCTGTGTCTCTCTCATATGCCAGCTCTGTAGCCTGCTTAAGAACCAATGAAGAGATTTGCTGCTTGACAGACTTTACTTGGGGATGTCAGCAGCTCCCTGAATTTTTATATACCTACTTAGAGAGCACTGTGGTTTAAGAAATGGGTTTGGATTATACTGTTTACAAGCTGTAAAATAAGCCTCACGTAAATGATACAGAGCCCAACTTTTTATTCGTATAGCTGTCGCTCACAACAGTGAGGGCATGCATAATCCTTACTTTTGTATCCCATGTGGTGAGGCAGCAGGGTGTAGCCACCTCTGTTACAAAAACTACACCCAGCAAATTCACTGGGAAACTAAAAACACTGAGGAGACCTGCTGAATCTTTAATGCGGCATTGTTGGCATTGTTTTGTGTGTGGTGTTGGAGGTAGCTCAGCCATCACACAGGTGAAGGTTGTCCCCTGATTGCCATGGGAGCCACAGGAAAAATCCTAAGATTTTAGCAAGAGACTCTGGCCATTAAATGCAGCAGTCTCCCCTCAAACTGCAGGGTCTCCCACTGTAATCTCTGCATTGGAGTCACCCCTGCGCAGCCAGGCTTTAACAAAACTTCTGCCGTCTCCCAAACTGCGTGAGTGTTTAAAGAATAAACACTGCTTTGCTTACACAGATGTTTCTAGGAATGGTGGGAGATTGATCTCGTTGGTAGAACGAAGTGTTTTAATAAAAAGCCTTTTTAATTTCTAATTAATACAATGGGTCATGTTTGCTGGCTGCTGCTGCTGACTATCACTAGGCGCTTGTCCGAAGCTGTGCACTGTCAGGCAGTAACCCCTGGATTTCCAGACATGCAGGAGTTAAGAGGAGCATGGTAGGGAGAAGAGGAGGCTGTGGAAGAACAGAGGAGAGGGCCTTGCTCTGTGTGGGCAGACAGGAGAGTCACTGTGAGGAGAAGACTGATTTGTTCTGGGGAACAAACTGGGAAAGAAAACGAGATGTTCTCTCCCTGGTGCCAAAGCTGTGGTTACAAACGCACATGGCAGCATCCCAGATAAATCATTCTTGCTACTTTAAGAGCGCATCTTGGAATCCTTATTTAGCAAATTCGGGATTAATGTTAAAAAAAAAAAAAAGAAAATAATGTTTTCTTTGGAGAAAATAGTGAAAAATCATCATCCTGCAAATTAAAAATCAGGCCCACCATTTTAAAACACAAAAATTATTATAGTAGGCTTTCAGTAATCATAATATAATGAAATGATGATAACAAGCAAGTTTGTGCCACTTCAAAACATTAACTGTATTAGCAGCTGAAGCAGCGAAGTGCTCACATTAGCTCACAACGTGTCTTTTAAATTCTGACAGTGAAAATATCTGAATTTGTCAAATGTTTCCTGTGGAAAAATAATAGATGACACATGCAGTAATCTAGAAAATTTTATTATCTCTAATTCCTCTAGAATGCTCTAGATTTTCCATTTAAAATAATGACAATGCTTAAGTTTTAAATATTTTTAAAAGTAGCCGGTGCAGTAAAAAAAAGGGCATTATTAAACATAATTGTTATAAATCTACATACATTTTCACCAGAAAGAATGGCACTGATTTCTCTTCACAACAAAGGGATTTATTTTGACAGAATGTCAAATGCTGCCAAGAGGAGTGCTGTGTACGCCATCAGATACTGGGATACTCGGGTGCCTCCTGCCCGCTCCTTACCTGGGTGGGCAGGGATGCTGGGCTCCTCACCTCAAAGACCAGGGACTCCAGGAAGTTCAGCGTCCTGTGGATTCGCTTTGGGCACGGGATATCAAACACATGAAACGCAGCCAGCAGTGCCGCCAGGGCCATGGTGCAGTCAGTGAGCTGGGCTAGCTCTTCTCTTTCTACGTATAGCGCAAACTCGCATGAATTCACGTTGAAGGGATTTTTTACTTCCAACACTGGTGTCACTGCCTTTACCTAAATTAAAAAAAGGATATTTCAAATGATGCCACAGCATCTCTTTGGTGAACAGGACAGAGAATGAAGCGAGCATAACAACACTGCTTTGAATTTAGCTCGTGTTTCTATTTGCCTTCTGCCCGAAAGGCAGGCTAATGTCATCCTGTTCCAGGAGCTAGGCTGAACCACCAGAAGGCCAGGGATGTGCCCAAGCAGCTGCTACAAGGAAGAGAGACCAAGACTGCGGGCGCTCTGTCTCCTACCTCCTCGTTCACTGCAGCAAACAGACTGGAATCATCTCCAAAGACATCTGGCAGGAGTAAACATGCAGCAGTCATTTTCATATCTGTCAAAGGCAAGAATTTCTGCTAAATTACAAATAAAAACATTCTGGCACTGCAGTATCGTCCTGGAAAAGCAGATTGCAGCCTATGTTAACGGCTCAGCAGTAGAACCGTTGTTCAGTCCATTTTGAAGAGGAGTTTGTACCACAGTGGAGGTTTAGGCACCTCAGCTGGCAATGGGCATTAATATTCAAATCATTCATGACCCTCTGCTACTCAAGATTACGATTAAAAATTTCTCTCACAATAAGTAAGTAGGCCTTTGGATTGCTTATAGTGGAGTTCAGGAGCTGAGTAGTCCTCTTGCCCCACTGCCCATCCCCAAACCCCTTTCTCCCCAGTAAATCGGGTGTCTCTGGGAAGTCCTGTTGCCAGAGGACTCCGCTTTTGAAGGCTGCGGTACAAGCTGGTGCTGCAGGACCTCCTGGGATGTGGTACCCACTACCCGCCTGGTTCAGCTACTACAGACTGTAACATCTTTTTTTGCGGGTTGTGTGTTCCAGTGAGCTTGTCCCGTCGGGCACGCAGTCTCTAGGTGCCAGGACAAGTTTGTTTGTGGGAGAAAAACAGGCAAGTAGAGGCCTTGGGACTTACACTAAGGTATGAGTTAGAATCTTTGTGGGCATATTGTATAAGAAAAGGAGAAATTATGTACAACGTCCATAGCTTTCTAAGGCCAAAGGCATGAGTAGAGAGCCCATAAGGGCTTTCTAGATTAGGCTGTTCATTGAAACTTTTTAATCTATTGTGAGCTATTGAGCACTCATGTTTTTAAGCTTAAAGAAAGAAAATCCCAGTATTTTAACCTACTCAGCTTGCTGCTTTAAGAAATGTCCTGGTAACAAAAGCAATGAAACCGCTATAGGGAACACATGGGCTCATTCTGTGTCACCTTTGATTTGACATTCTGGCATGAAGGCCTGTTTGATAGAAAATGACAGTCTAAGGAGCAGCTTTCACAGAGCTGAGCTCGGGCAGAGGCATCGGCAGCTGCTGTTTGGGAAGAATAACGATTCTGAGTAACCGCTTCCAAGGTTTTGTCCCTGCGGAACCGCGCTCCCAGACTTCTCGGACTGAAAGGAGTGGCCTGGCAGCAGGCGCTTGCTGCCTTGCGGCCAGCGAGCCGAGCAGGCCGAGGCAGTCTAAGGAGCAGCTTTCACAGAGCTGAGCTCGGGCAGAGGCATCGGCAGCTGCTGTTTGGGAAGAATAACGATTCTGAGTAACCGCTTCCAAGGTTTTGTCCCTGCGGAACCGCGCTCCCAGACTTCTCGGACTGAAAGGAGTGGCCTGGCAGCAGGCGCTTGCTGCCTTGCGGCCAGCGAGCCGAGCAGGCCGAGGTGCATGGACCTCTCCTTTGGCTGACTGCGGCACCCGCTCGCCAGAGGTGCCAGCTTCTGTGCTTACTCCTGCAGCGTGTCTGCCGAGGCGAGGTGCTTGAACCGCAGGTAGTGGTAACCACTTCCTTCATTTCGCTGGGATGAAGACTTTAGCCATAGAAACAGTACCTCCCTTTCTAAAGGATATTGTCTCTTTTTTTATGGGACTGTTTCTCTTTCTAAACCAGAAAATTAGTTCTCGCTGTGTATTTTTAGAAAATAATAAGCACTCCTTTACATATCTAGAAATCCGTAATTCTACTCATCTAGCAATACTTATTTTAAGGGAGTTACTAACTTTATCAAACCTGTGGTCTTTTATTCAATATGAAAAAAAAAGTCTCGGTACCTGACTTTACTTAATTTTCCCCATAATTTATTAACTTTTATGCTTAATGCTTTGCCATCACTATATATTTTTCAAGCAACTGTGACATTTAAAAAATGTTTTTGCAATAAAATTGGAGCTGGTTTAGTTACATAAGTAAGAACAATTAGCTACAACAAAACTCTGATATTCAGGGCATAGAAGATTTGTACTGACATTTCAGAATGTCTTCCTCTGTGTGCCGCTTCAGATTTTCTTGCAGCATAATGTTAATTGGATTATTCCTCACCACATATAAAGATAATATGTTTTCTGAGTAAATCTCCAAAATCTCAACTGTTTTCTTATAAATGTCCATGTGTGTGAGAAGCTGGAACTCCCTAAAAAGCTAAAAGAAAAACAAATATTTGGTATTATTGCAATCCTCAAAACCAAAGCTGAAAACAACACGAGGTGCACCCTTTGAAGACAGGATAAAACTAGCTCAGTAAAATAAGATTATAAACTGGAGGAGGTAGTTTAATTTCTTTTCAAAGCAGGGAAGAAATACATCAAGTAGCACCAAAATACTTCATATAACCCACTGGTGTTGAGTGTGGCATGTTTAACACAGGACTGGTGAATCTTTTAAAGTGGGGTTAGCAGCAAAAATACGAGTTAAAGAGAACAGTGTTGATGGATACTTCACTGGAAACATCCAGTAAAATATGTGCTTGCGGTTGTATCACATCTATAACACAGATTTCAATGTTATTATTAAAAATAGCTCTGTTGTTACCTGATAAGGGCATCTCAAGAAAGGAAATAGTCGAAGAATGTCTTTTAAAGGTGCCTTATTGCTGATCATCTTTCTCCGTATTTCTGTTGTCACACTCATTCTGTTATCCACTTCTTTCCAGTTCCTCTGAGTTTTCATATATTCTTGCTTAAGCCACTTAATATGTACATCCATTGCACTGCCTTCAAGATGAACAGGTTCTTCCTATCAAGAAATTCAGAAGAGAATTGTTAACAAATCAGCTAGCCTTTTTATCTAATGTGGCTTGTGTGATTTGAGTGTACTCAAAGTATAGCCAAGCTCAGCAGAAAGTACCTGTAGTATGGTTTCAGTACCAGCTCTGTGAACTTATATTAGGATCTGTTTGCATATAGTACTATGGCTATTGGCCAAGTCTCCCAAGCTCAAATTACATATTTGAGGATATTCACATGCAGTTCCTATGCCTGTGTCTGGTTCGTGGTTTATTGGACATTAGTGGGCATTTCTAATGATGACCCGGTATTTAGCTCTGTATTACCAAGAGAAATAGTACAGGAATAGTGTGTTTGTTTGTGACCAGCTTGAGTAGGCATTCCTTGCCTCTTCGTCACTGCACAGGAACAGGGGTGGTGGGTCAGACAATTTAGGCTCATACCCTCCTCCACCTGGCTGAGAAGGGTGCTGGGAAAAAGTCTGAAGTAAGGATGCGTGTGTAGTGGTACTTCCCCTGAGTTCTGCCAAGACTCCACTGAACTGGAGTTCGTGGTATCCCAAGGGTTATGTCTTTAATAGCCTTCAGTAGATTTTTTTGCTTCCATTATTTCTCCCAGTCACTTTTCCAATTCTCATAAAATTGTACCTTCCACAACATCCTGCATTAAATTTGGCAGTTTAACTATGCACTGTCAGAAGAAAGGCATCCTTTTGCTTGTTTTCTCCTGCTGCTTCTGCTTCTGCCTTTGTACTGGATTCAAAACCTATTCACCATCTCCTTGCCACCGTAGTTTTATAGATATGTCGTATTCTGTCCTCAGCCACCTCTTTTCCAGCCAAGACTGTCTTAAGCTATTTAATCATTCCACATATAAAAGCTGGTCCATACTTTCAATTAGCCTTGTTACTGTTTTTGCATATTTTATAATTTCACTACAGCTTTTATGAAATGGGCACAGTAAAACTTAAAATGCTAGTTGAGATGCTGGGACACCACAGGTGCATACAGTGGAATAATGCTCTCCCTTTTGTTTCTTTCTTAAGTAATTCTGAGCATTCAATATACTTTTTTGAACTGCTACTTTAGCATTGTGCCAAATTTTCTTTGGCTTAATATAAAAATACCATTTGTGAATGGTACTAATAAGCTCAAAGCCCATCACTGTAAATGTTTTTAGGACTGTTTTTTCTCCTTGTGCCTTATTTTTCATCTATCACTATTGAATTTCATCTGCTGTTCTTTTTGCCATGTCACTCAGTAGTATGGGGTCCTTCTGCAATTCTTCAGTCAGTCTTTGTCTTCAGTACCCTTAGAGCATCACCAAATGTGATCAGCCAACTAGTCTCCTTTTTCCACATCATTTAGAAACATATTGAACTACATAAACTAGGAGCATTAATAGTCTTTTCTGCTGTAAAACCCAACTATTTCTGCCTAGCCTTCTTGTTCTGTCTTTTAACTGTTTATCCATGCAAGGACCTTCCTGCTTATCCCCTCAGATTATATCCCCTAAAAGCCTTTGAAAGGCGTGTAGTGAAATCTCTTCTGAAGTTAAACTGTATCAGCTGGATTTCCTGTGTCCTCAGGGTTGTTGAATACTTCAAAGAACTAATGAATTTATGAAGAATTACTTCTGTTTACATAAACTTCATTGATTCCTTCCCAGTGTATTCATCTCTTGGGTCTGCATTACAGTTCTTGCCAGTTTGGCCAGTAAAGACAGCAGGTTTCTTGGTCAGTGTGTTCCCTAGCTCTCTCCTGAAACTCTAGAAACAGGCATCAAATTAGCTACCTCCAATTTTCTAGTATCGTGTTTCATAAGAGAAATTGAACATCATGATTCGAAAATTACCTATTGTATCCTTTGACACGTCTGAAAATTTTGCACAAATATTTGGTCCTGGGAATGTGTTACTCCTCATTTTAGCGTATTATTCTGTAAGCTCTTTACCCACACGCCAATCTGAGACACGTGCCCGGACACCGCCTATGAAGAATGCTCCCAGTAATGTGGTCACCTGCACTCCTGCACTCCTCTTCTGAGAATCCTTGCAAAGTCTGTCTAGTTTTTCTGATACGGTTTTATATTCTGCAAGACCTCCTGCACTGGAGAGTGCACCCCGAGCGCTCCTGTCCCTTAGCAGCATCAGGCTTCCTGCTTCTCCTGTGGTCGAAAAAGCCTTTACACCCATTGCAGAAAAGGCAGAAAACCACAAACACAATTCTATGTAAATCTCCAGCGGGTTGCGCATAGTCATCAGAGTCCTGTTTTGCTAACATGTCATCTCTGCAAGCTCCCTGCATCAGTGTTTGGTATTTTCTAATCTAATTTAATCTATTTTATCTAATTTATATTGGTTCCTGACTGTGAATACCATTCTCGTATTCACACATCGCCAAGTGAGCCGTTCAGCTGTCCCTCAACATGCTGGCTTGCACTAAGTTGGATGGAGTGTCTCTTGCTTCAGCAAGACCACTGCACAAAACCAAGGGCTGGTCCATTCTTGTCAGGTTCAAGATGTTCATGCGTTCTTACACATGCACACACAAACTTGGGCAGTTGTTTGGGGTTTTTTAATTACATTTATGTTTTTTACTCTGGGAAAGAGCTAGTTTGAAGTCTCTTGACTCCAAACTGCTCTGTTAGTACTGGCTTCTCCTGTGGGTCTGCTTCCAAGCCTCGTGCCCGTAGAGCGTGAACTTCTTTGGCCACCTGGTGTGGAGCACAGCGGCTCGTTTCCAGAGGGGCCGTCACCTTCAGTGACTTACTTGCAGAGGCAGGAAAGCAAAACAAACTCAACCCAGTGTGCTGTTAACCCCAGACAACCTGACTGGGTAGCTTAGAAACAAATACTGAGGAGAACACGTTGCGACCTTTACTCCAGCTTATCTCCATCCCCCTTGTCAAGGCAAACACTGCTCGAGTTGATGGACTTTCCATGTAGTCAGCGCTATCCTTGAGAGCTAGTTTAGCTAGTGACATTATTAATTAGCTAAATGAGACCATTTGACATTTTTGTAAGCATCAACGGCAAGCTACCAATAGAAATACGGCACTAGTGCAAGGAAGAATTGCTGTCATACTTACCAACTAAGACAAAAAAAAAAGTGTGATGGAAGGCCAGACTTGTTGTGTAAATTGTCCATTACATATGAGTAACAAGCAGAAGGCAGTGTTAGAATTGGTTTTCCTGCAGCGTTCATCCTGCTTAGGGCAACCACAATCTGTAATCTTTTAAGCTGCACTTCTAGGCTGAAGAAAGGTAGTTCTGAACTTTAAGGTCTTTAACATAGGTTAGTGTAGTCTATGTAACAGACTACATACCCAGCCATAAAACACATCTTAAAACTTCAGTCAACTAATAGAGCTCCAGAAATGTACCAAATCTCTGGTAGTACTGGAAACCAATTAATGACAGTTTTCTACTGGCCTTGAGAGCCATTGCTGTTTCAGAGATTACATCTTGTTTATTATTATTAGTGGAAACGTAACAATGTTTATGTACCTTGAGCATGGGCAATGGTAAGTATGATGTAAAACACTTGGGGAGTTGTAAAACAATGCTGCATGCAGTGAAAGAGCAAGTGAATACTGAGTTCTAGGGTTGGCATTAGCAAACAAAGTTGCTGTGATTTTGGGGACTGCTTGACTAAATACAGTGGCTTTAATACAGTGGCAGGCCTGTGCCTTTTATATCTAATCACAGAATCATAGAGTAATTTGGCTTGGAAGGGACCTTTAAAGGCCATCTAGTCCAACCCCCTGCAGTGAGCAGGGACATCTGCAACTAGATCAGGGTGCTCAGAGCCCCGTCCAACCTGCCCTGGGATGTTTCCAGGGATGGGGCATCTACCACCTCTCTGGGCAACCCGTCACTTCATTTCATTTTGTCTCTGGAGAGTTTCATTCCTACCGGGGAATAAAACAATATACTTGTAGTACATAGTACTATGTAAATACAGATTAACTGATAATTGGGAGGATGGATTTACTGCGTCATTGCGTATTTCTAATTCCAACTGATTTAATGCGAGTGGTGTATGTTATCAGTCAAGAACAGAACAGAGCAATGGGACTTCACTGGTACATGGAGTCAAATGGCAGTGACTGTCTTCAGCCGAACCAGTGTGGAATTAGAGAACGGTGAACTTAGATGTTTGTGGATGAGTAGCTGTTTGCAGTCAACCTAGCTGAAAATCTAAAGGGCAAAAGCATTCTGATCTATGTTGTTCATTATTTCTAAGCATAGGTTCATTGAAATAAAATCCGAATGGTTTTGGTAGAGCAGGAAAGTTTGACATCACTTGAATTTTACACAAATGATTGCTGACCTCAGGATTTATTAGATTCTAACATCAAAAAAGGTTTTGCTTTTATTAAAAAATTACAAAACACCATACTTGCAGCAGAACACATTCAATGTGTAACTTGCTGTATAACTCCATTTCCATTATCTTCAGCCCTTCTTCCTATTTTTCAAATTTGCCTTTTTTCTTGTGAAGTGCAGTGAATGAATATTAACTCAGTCACACCTAAATGCAGGATTCACTTAAAATGTTTTCATTTTTTCCTTTAATTTTTAGTTTGTGAACAGGTTGATTTTTAATGTAAGCACAAGGGTAACTGAGAGGTGGCTTTCTTTTGGGGGAAAGAAGTTATCTCAGTGGGACACCATTTTGCAAAGTATTTTAAATTGTAGTAGAGGATGATTCCAAGTGTGATTTAAAATCTTTTATAGTTAACTTTCACATTGCTAGTATGAACAGGAAGAGTCTTGGTTCAGTAACAGGCTTTCCAAATCCATCAATCAGCCTATCACATGCTAATTTAGGAGGGACTCTAGATCCTCTCCACTTTAACCATCAAAGCAGGAAAGCTAGTTACAGCACAGCAATACTCCAGCAAAATTTTGACAGTAAGGTTAAAGCTCTGTCATTTCAATACTGCGGAAAAGCAATCCTATCTGTACCAAAGCCAGGATCTCCTGTCTCAATGTGTGAAGAAAAG